CATGCAACTGTTCTACATGTGTATCTTGATGCACTACCATCTTTTTATCACTGTAGCTTTGTAGTAAGTTTTGAAATTGTGAAATGTGAAGCCTGCAGTCTGGTTTTCTGGAGCCTCTGTCATGGATCCAATTTTAACACAGTGGATGACAACAAAATCCACAGTTTAGCTCTACAATACATGAAAGCTACCACTTTAAACTTTATAAATAAATTAATACTGATGAAAATAATTTTTTTTAAAAGAACAGGGATTCTCTACTGGCAGAGATATATCCCAGTAAGGATCCTATGTCCCATAGCTCTCTGCAATCTGGTATGCTGTTAAGTAAAAAAAAAAAAAAAAAAAATGGACAGAACACTAGAGGTTTTGCTGCCACTAGATTTTTTTTTAAAAGAATATATTTGTATATGCATTATATAACTCTGGGAAAATACCCATTATAGTGCTGAAAGAACTTGCCTATTGCTGAGAATATGGGTGGCTGGGAGACAGATGGAGGGGAGATTTTCTTCACTATCTTTTGTTCATTTTGAATTTTTGTAAATTTTGTCTGTTGATTACAGTGTCTTAACTGAAAAACAAACCAGACAGAGAATATAACTTTCCATCTTCATGCGGGCTAAGAAAAACCTGTGGAAGCAATAAGAGATGTGTTTGCAGGGAGTGGTTTTTATCCCTGCCTTGGGTTTCTGTGTGAGCCAGCAGCCAGGCTAAAGGGGAAGCTAGTGTGGCAGTGAAACCAACTTGATGTGGTGCTAACTGGCCCCATGGGGACCCTTTTACCCAAATGACTTGATCCACTCAGGCAACATATGGTCACCTATCATGATTCTGAAGGTTGATTAAATGGCTTACTTATACTTTGTTTCACTTGTTATTTATATTCTGACTCTGGGGCAGGCAGGAGGAACATCAGCCTTATTGATTAGTTCTAACTCTAAAATGTCAAATGGGGGAAAAAAGGATAAACTAAATTGCTGGAGTGAATTTTTTGTTATGTGGGAATTACCTGCATTTTAATTAAATAATACAGTTTCTAAATTATAGAGCTAAAGAATGCACGCATGGATATTTGAAAAAGTAAAATTCTTGATAAAATACAGAAGAAGAATCTTTTAAAACTTCTCTATGTGACAGGTGTTCTTCAGTCAATCAAATGTGACTTCCCATAACTATGCACAGAATAGAAAGAACTTGGGAAATATTTAATATGCGAAGGCTTATCAAGATGACTGACAACCACTGGAGGAAATCCACATTAGTTCCCTTACAGAACGCAAATTCAAGACTGAGCTTAGTAAAGAGCTCTGAGTCACTTCAGGAATAACAATTTACTCTGCATTAATGAAAGCGTCTATCATATAGCGTAGGAAAATTATTTCAGATAGCCTCAAATTAGAAATATTTCAGAAGGAAAGTGGCCTATTGAGTCAAGCGTTAAAATATTCATGAAAAGAGTATCTTCAAAGAGTTTAATAATTATAAATGCTACGGTTCAACATATGAATATACAGCACTCTAAGGGGAAAAATGTTCTGAGGTCTACGAAGTACACCTCAAGCTAAACAGTGACTTCAGGAAATTCAAATAAAATGGGGATTACAAAGCCAAGCTCATTCTTCTTGTTAATCAGCACTTACTGTACTATTTTCTCTCCTTCAAGTTCCCCTCCTCCAGAAAGGAGCTATCTTCACAGGCATTCTAGCTAAATGCCGCCAGTCATCCTGGATGCTTTCCTTCAGGCTCCAGTTAAATGAAATACCAAGTGCCAAGCTCTGTCAATTCCTTTCTGTCCATCTTTTTTCGCTTTTGCCTAATTGAGGCCCATTTCTTCTCCTGGATCATGGCGTGGCTTCGTCTTGCTTTGTTCTTGCGATGTTTCCAATTCCTCTGCCCCCTTGAATTCCACCCTTTGCATCACCACCAAAGAGAACTTAGGGAAACATGATTGTTGTAATCTCTATTCTGAACTTTTCAGATGTGCTCAAAGCTTACAGGATGTGTCCAACACTACACCCTGACATTCAAGAAAGGTCCCTCAAGACGAGACACCCACCACATCTTAGCCACCGTCACTAGACAGTGTCCGCTGTAGGCTCTAGTGGTAACATTCTATTGCTTTTTGTCAACTGGTGACTTCGTTTTCTGAGAGGCAGATCAGTGGCCCCTCCAGCTCTTTCAATCATCAGGGCAGTCTAAGAGACAACACATCCTCTCACAGCCTCCCGGCCACACGACAACATCTGTCATCAGCATGCTCTGTATGAATACATGTGTTTGTAAGCCTTATCAATTATAGGTTCTAGGAGGACAAGGACCATGTTTCAACATCACTGTGACCATCAATAGCTTATCCAAGCCTTGGAACATAGGGAGTTGTCAAGACATTGAATGGAGAGGAGCTATGTGATAAGGAGATTATATGTATTGAGTGTGTAACTCAACTACAATGCATTTGGGTTACTGTAATTAATGTTATATCATAAAAAACCAGAAGGCTGCTCAAAATATGACCTTAACTTAAAACCTTCATTCTGCCATGGTTGGGGCTAAATATCCTACTCCAGGTAGTAATTTGTTAAGTAAAATAAATGTTTGTTTTTTTATATCCTGCATGATCTCTAAAAGGATTTGAGATAGTAAGGAAATAAATCAAGCCGGTTTGAGTTCAAATTCAAAAAACAATCTTTTGGAAACAACTATGTCAATATGTTTGCTTCTCCCTACAAACATTCAGTAGTAACAATTTGCAGTTTGGGGTTTGCTCCCCCTCCCCCAATAAACTAGTTTTTAAAATATATATTGAAACCTTTAGGTGAGCAGTGAAGAAAGACCAGAAGAGTCTTAGATTTATAAAAACAATCACTTTAATTAAGGCACGTTTAGAGACCATTCTAGCAAAAGATTTTTTAAAGTTTGAAATGCAAGCATAATTTTATTATGCTTTTAAAGAGTTAAGGTTGAAATGGCAAAGAAAAACAATTTAACTTAGAGGCTAGAACAGGCAACATCCCAGGAAAGTGTAACAGGCAACTATTTCATTCATGCCTTTTATCCTTAGCACACAGAAACCAAAATATCGTTGCTTAGTCACTGCTTGAGCACTAAAACACTGTTTCAATGAACAGAAAAGCAGACAAAGTGGCACTAAGATGCCGAACTCGATCGTTTCACCTGGAGCTCAAATCCCGAGTACTCAGGGTGTGCTGAGGGCCCCGCATACCAACAGTACCCGGGATCTTGTGAGAACTTGGATTCTCGGGCCCTGCTCCAGGCCGACTGAGTCGGCATCTACATTTTCACAAGCTTCCTCATCATATATGGGCTCATTAAAATGTGGGAGGCACTGTTTTTGGTGTCCTCTGAAACTGTCCCATGGAAAGTCCTAGTCCAAACAGAATCCTTAATGGAAGCCCATCCCTGAGCAGGAAATGAAGGACTGATTTTAGAACTATCTGATGTGTGCATCTGGAGCAAAAGAATTAAATACTTAATTGGTGCTGGCCTCAGAGAACAGCGCACCCATAGGCTAGCTTCAGTGTCAACTGAGGGCATTGAACCAGGTCCCTGTGTCCTCAGCACTGACCTTCAGTGACGGGCCTCACACAATACGGGTGAATGGACTGAGTGAATAAACTTGGAAGGATAAAGATATATCAGTGTCACTCTGAAAAGCTGAGTTCTCTCTGGGATAGTGTAACTATGTTCAAGGGTTCCCTGCTACTTTTAATAAGACCTGAGTTAGACAGCATTTCAATGCCATCATTTAATTACAAATAACAGATCTATCAAAAAATCACTCATTATTAAATATGTGTGAATTAAATACTTAAGTATGAAAGAATAACTCAAAGCATTCTGGTTTTAGTCCCATGTCTTCTTTTTGAGACCTCAGTGCGGACAGGAAGACCTGACTGGCAAGTGCTACCTAAAGAGTAAGACAAGGATGGAAAAGACAGTTCCTGCCCTTCAGAAATGGAACAGAGGAAGTGACTGAGGCATCTCTGACACGGTCAGCTCAGTTCGCTTCCGTCAGAGGGGAAAACCTGGACTCAGAGATGGATGTACCAGATTATAATGTGCAGAGCTAAAAGCCAGGTCATCCAAGTCATAACGTGGATTCCATGTTCAGGGGGCACGTGATAAAACAGAAGTGGTATGAGAAAGCAACAGGGTAAGACTGTTTCAGGGGGTAAACATGACCTAGTATAGAAGAATGGTTACTCATTTAAAATAGGACCTTTTGAAGAAGACTGTATCTCAAAAAAAAAAAAAAAAAAAGGTGGGGCTGGATTTAAAGTTCTCTCTTCTTCTAAAGGTTCGATCTGAAAACTGGAAGATATGGAGCTTGACCCGCCTCCCCCAAAGTTTGAGTACCTCATAAAAGCTGATTCAACTTTCACATTTGAAACATGCAGTTCTTTCCAAAATGACTATATAGTTCTTTCCTAAATGACTATACTACAAAAATATGCAAATCTATGATAAAAGAAGCAGAACACTGAGGCCAAGCATACAAGGCAAAATCTGAAGAGCACTCTCACTTACACTGAGAATGGGTATTCCAGAAATTACAGAGAACAAAATATCCTCCCACCTTAAAGAAGCTAAGTAAAATGTTACTCTTAAATATAACACTGAATATAACTTTTATTAAAAAGTCAAGTAGGGCTAGGGATTTAGCTCAGTGGCACCATGTCTGCCTCGAAAGCACAAGGTCCTGAGTTCGATTTCCAGTGCCATCACCACCAAAAAAAGTCAAATATAATTACTAGCACTGACTACTGAGAGAGGCCCTCCTTCAGGAGCCTAAGCATCCTGCAAGTGCCTGCTGGATGTATGAAGAAGGCAGGACTCTGTCCTCTTCTGACCACTTCTCAGTGCCGTGTAGCAAGTGAGTGATGAGATCATAACTTCCCCACATAGCACAGGCTCGCTTACTCCTGGCTCTGGCTGCTGTGTATAAAATCCATTTGGATTACTAAGATTTCTCTTACCGGATCCAGGTTCTTGAACAGCAGGATGTCTTTGCAAGCTTCTTGCAATCTATTTCTTTGATCATCGGTTTTTGGATGTATAATCTAAAAGGACATCAAATTTAAAAATACAAAAACAAAGAAAGTTGTTAGCACCGATCAAAATTTAACAAAAATCAACAGGAATGCTGGAAAGAATTGTTGGTGCTCAGCTTCACTTTTGGTTAGCACAGAGATACTTCAGATGACTAGTAAACATCAGACCACTACGTAGGAGGAAATAATGTAAGTTGTCCCCAGGGAGTAGTATACATTCATCCATGTAGTACCTGAATGTTTTTCAGGAGTGTCCCCCCAGGTTAGCAAGTTCATTCTGCAAAGGGGTGTGATTAGCAAGAGAGACTCCAAAGTTCCTGGCCAGTAGAGACAAGGGGACAATCACTGCAATGAAAATTTAGAGATTGCCTTTATTCTGTTTTTAGTACTTTTAATACTCTTTCAGAATGTAGCTCTTTCCTTTGAAACCTGATCAAGTCTCCAGAAGCAAGTAAATTCTTAAATGTAGAGAAACTGGCATATTGCATTCCTATAGTCTTCTTACTTTTATTCCAGCAGGGTGAAAATGAAGAATGTCCTCTAAAAGAGAGGGTTGCCAACTCTGGGGTCCCTTTTGCCTAGCAGAAGGCTCACTGGACCAAGATCCATTCTTTGTTCATGTGTGGTGCTGAGGATAGAACCCAGTGCCTTGCATATGCTAAGAAAGCACTCTATCCCTGAGCTATATCCCCAGCCCCAAAAGGCCCAATTTGTTGCAAATACTGGTAGTTTCTAAGTATGAAATGAGTTAGGGAAGGGACAGTCCTAAAAGCAGGCATGCAGTTGGTTTCCTGGACACCTGTATACCACCTTCTTATTCCAAGGTTCACTTAAAAAGCAACCGTGACAGCTGATAAGCTGGATCCTCACCTCTTCAGTCGGCCACCTCCACCAGCTAGAATCAAGCAGCCCTGAGTTTGTAACCCAAAATGTATCAAAATTCACAGGGTGGTGGGTGGGGAGGTAATTCAGGGATAAGAGCACTTGCCTAGCATGTGTGAAGCCCTGGGTCCAATTACTAGTACTACAAACACAAAACACAAAAGGGGAAATTTAAACGAGCACATTAGATGGCTAAAAATTAATGAAAATAATGAGCTAGAAAAGAACTGAGGAAACCTACAAGTATATGCAAATTATTTCTGTGTATTATCTTAGACTATATGAAAGATTAGCAACAGAAGTCACTGCATTGTGTCTACAAGGGTGAGGCACAAGGAAACCTTTGTTTACTATCTGACACTCACTGAAAACTAGGGTCTGAGATGACAGGTGAACACAAAAAGCAGATCCTGGTGCCTGTCCCACTGCTGCACAAGAAACCTTTAAAACTCAGACTTTAAATCATACCAACAAAAATTCACTTCTTCCTATTTTGAAAAAGAAAAGCTAATGTAATAAAACAACCCAAAACCCCTGTTACTTCTCACTTTGAAAAACCCATCCGGAACCTGGAACTGAGGCAGGGGACATGTCTGCCTGCTGAGGGAAGCACCCGACCCAGACCTCACTCTGTCAGCCTGTCTTCCTGCCTCTCCTCCCCTGCCCTCCCTGGAAAGCCCTCACACAGAAGCCCAGCCTTTTCCTTTGCTCTCTTTCTGGCTGCTTCCGTTCTTGCTACTGGCCGCAGCTCCCCTCCATGCTGCTCCCCTGCTCCCTCTCCCAGCTCCTCAGGACCCAGCCCCTCCCTATCACCCCTCCCTCCCAGTGAGACACCACCCTGCATTGTGAAGCTGCTCTTCCATCTCTAAAGACAGTCTTCTCCCAGCGGGCTTTGTGTGTCCTACATAAGGGATCTTTTCTGGATTCCCTTGGCTTCAACAATACCCAAAGTGTGATTTCTGTTATACTAGAGGCCAATTTAGTTTGTATTAAAATTTATTTCTGATTTCAAGTTTAAATCTTGTTTGTTAGTAGTGTTTACTGTGTGGCAAATGCTTATGGGCCCTATAAACATGAACTGATTTCATCCTAGCACAACCCCAGGAAGCAGGTCCTAACTTAGAGGTAAGGAAATGGCCGCCCTAGCGACTTCCCCAGCACCAGGGCCCTAAGCTGCAGGGGAGCTTCACTGGGCAGGGCTGCAGGCTTTAAACCAGGGATCAGCAAAACTGCACCTCAGGCAAACTCACTTTTGTTCTGCCTCTGGGCTGAGAACAGTCTTACCTTTTTTAATGACTTAAGAAACCCCAGCATTTCCTGATGCATGGAAATTACATGAAATACAAATTCCAAGATCCATAAGTAAAGTTTTAGTGGCATGCAGATGTGCTCTTTCATTCCTGCATTACCTGTGGCTGCTGTCAAACCACTGCAGCAGAGCTGAGCAACTGCAAGAGACCTCAAGACCCCCCACAGCCTAAAATATTCTCTGAAAATAGTGAATTTTTAGTTAAAAATAAACTGCAGAAAAGGCCTGCCAACTCTTACTCTAAATCTCTGCTGCTCTTCAATAAAAAGAAGTAGAAAGCTAATTAATAAATGAGGTTTACTCAGGCATCTTCTTTGCAGAACACTGTACCTTGTTACCCAACAACAGTCTGTACGAGGTATTTTCTTACTTGTCCATGCCATTCTCCAGAAGGAGCTGAAAGTCATCCTGCAAACATTCAGTCAGAACACCCCACTCTCCAGCTGCAAACCTCAGCAGGCTCCACCCCTGCACTGGGAAGGAAAACCCCCATTCCTGCCTTCTCGGCTTTGACCCAGCCTCCAGGCCCTGGCCTCTGCCTTGACTCAGAGCCCTACAGGCCTCCTCCTCTTCCTCCTGACGGTGGGCCCAGAAAAACCAGTGCAGGACTTCTGCAAGACTCTCCCGATGTCCCGCACGGAGGCCTGGAGGACTGGGGCATCTGAATTCCCACCGTGTACCCTGCTCCCACTTCACATCGATTATGCAGCAGTTTACGCACTTGTTTGTCTACATCAGCCATCGGCCTCGCAGCTAGCAGAGGGCCGGGTTCCCTGTGCGCACCACTGCATCCCGAGCGCCTGGCCACTCGTGCAAAAGGCACTCCAAAAAGGCTTTGTGGGGTAACAGGACAAAGAAATATTCTACTTCTGAATTTATCAGATTCCGCATGCTAGGTTCAACATACAATCCTTAAATTTTTGTTTACTTGAGATATTTCAACTAAAATCTAATGTGGTATTCTCCCAAATAAATCTTAAGTATTTAGATTTTCTTTGAATTGGTATCAGAGGACAAATACCTATTAATACTAGAAATGTAAGGCATGGGTGATATATAGAACCCCAGAAGTAATATAAAATGTCCACATACAATGTTACTCTATCAAAATATAGTATATGTTTTTCCTTGGACATTTTCCAGTATTTGTCAAGGGCTAATTAATTTTGAAACATGTAGTAACCATTCCCAAGAGCTATGGTACAGTTCGCCTTACAGTTTCTAAGGGAAAAAAAAGCATAGTTTTCAGTAACCTGTTAAGTATTTTATTATAATCATTGACATAATTCATAGACTAGTTACAAAAAAAAACACCTTAACATGAAATAGAGAAAAAATCTTGGGGTGATGCCCACCCCAGAAAACCTCCTCCTCCTCTCGGAACTGCCTGCCCTTCCTTAGGGAAGTGGCCCCTGTGGAGCCCAGGCTGGATGTGGGGCCCTGACCCCACGCAGCTGCAGTGTGAACTGAGGGACACGCAACAAGGGGAGCCTGGAAGCGCAGTGCCTTTCAGAAACTGCCCTCCAGCGCTGCCAAAGGGGCCCCGGAGTGGGCTGGCTCCCCCGTTAGCTATAGCTTGGCTTCTGAACATTTTCTGGGAGCAGTAAGATCTCTAGACATCTGTCCAAAAAGTTCTTCCCAGCGTTTTCTTTTTTATGTTTATCTCAATGTGATTAGGTTCTTTTACATAGGTAAGTAAAGAAATTATTTTTTTTCCTCTAGTACTGGGCATTGAAACTAGGGCCTTTGTACTATGTCCCTGGCCCTTTTTAATTTTTTTTTTTTTTGAGACAGAGTCTTGTTAAGTCCCTTAGTTGCCCAGGCTGGGCTCCATTATATGATCCTCCTGCCTCAGCCTCCTTGTGGGCTGGGATTACTGGTACATGACATCATGGCCAGCCTGGTAAATAAATCTTAACTGGCACAATCTCTCCAATAAAACCCCTGAGTTGGTATGAACAGCCACAACACTTTTTCCAGCTCATGTATTCAGTGGTGGCTAAAATCTCTCTCAAGGTCTCATAATCTTCGACATCTTGTTTCCAAACTGTACTGTAAATGCTCTTTGATTTAAATTTTTTTTTTTTGGTACCGGGGGATGGAACTCACGTCCTTGTGCTTGCACAGCAGGCAGCGAAACCACTGAGCTAAATCCTCGGCCCTTAAATTTTTTTTTTTACTAATTTACACCGCTTCTTCAAAACTCAGTCTGCTGCTAAATTTTATTGTGTACATTTGTTCATGGAGCCCAGCATGGTGGCACATGCCTGTAATACCAGCACTAGGGAGGCTGAGGCAGGACTGCCAGGAGTTCGAGGCCAGCCTGGCTACACGGTAAGTTCAAGGCCAGCCTGAATTACAGAGCGAGACCTTGTCAAAAGCAAAACAAAACAAAACAAAACAAAAAAACCATTTGTCCACAAACATGAAGAATGGATGTAGTTTTCAAATGTCACTGTTCCTGTTTCTTTGAGACACCTAAATAAGGTACATGATAGGCGGGGTCAAGGTGAGCAGACTACAAAGTGGTAGCAGTGTATCAGAGTGGGAGAAATATCCTGATCCTGAAGCAACCTGCTTTCCAGTCAGATTCGTGGACTTCATCAAAATAACTTAAGTTTTGGGAGTGGGAGGATCCCTGGTGCCGGGCCTCACGGCAAAGTGAGACTTCAGGATCTTTCGTGTTACAGGCCCCTTCCCATCTTTGGGTCCCTGGATTTTATGTATATTTCACAGAACTTTTTGATGAAATGACTTAGGGACCTACTGTCTGCTTTTCTGTATTAAAACTCCATCTTACTGAATTTTCAGAGCTTGAGAAATAGGTTTCTGTTTATACTTTTAAGGCCAAAGAGACATGGGGACTTTTACAAAGTATGCACTAAAAAAAAAAAAAAAAAAAGCAAGTTAGTTCTTTCCATTTCCAGGCACAGTAATCTCTTAGTTTACTTTTTAGTGAATAAATAAGAGGAGGACCAAGCTAAAAGACACAGCTTAAACACTGCGTCAAAACACACCAGTCAAATTCTTGCAAAAACATTAGGGCCTGCAAGGAAACAGCTGCTGAGCAAATTATTGAGACCTATAGATTTTTAAAAGCAGCAACTGCTGTACCTTTATTTCACTGCTACTTGTTTGTTTCAGAGTAAGCTTTCGTTGTTATCCATTAATAGGAGCAGAAGGTCTTTCCTAGTATTTTTCTTTACTAGAAACACTTTCTAAGAAAAATAACATTATTACTATGAGAAACACTGCTAAAAACATTTTTCATCACCAGGATATATTTTGCAAATACAAACAAACAAACAAAAAAACACTGCAAGTGCAGTGAGCAATATATTGTTCTTTCCTTTTATCCAAAGATTTTTTTGGGGGGTAAAAATAATTCTACAGAACTTTAAGTAGAAGTAGGCTATCAGATATAAGACTAGGAAAAGAAATAGTCAAAATAATCCCATTGTTTCCTATTAAATTGTATGCCTGTTAACATCTTTTATATTCTTATTTTCCTTATAAACACAAGAGTGTCCCTTTAAAACTAGTTCATTCCGCAAGTTACATACCCTGGACTCTGCATCATCTTCTTCTTCATCGGGGTTGTATGCTTCTGCACACACTATAAAGACAAAAACGCCCATTTTAAGATTTGTTCATCAAAAAACATAACAGTAAATATTATCTTTTAAATTAATGAACAAATAGTACCATGGCATTAAAAGAAACCATTAATTTCAGGGTAAGCACTTTATCCCCTAAAACTGATTTCATATCATAACTTATGAGGATTTTCTTAGCATACAAAGCTGTATTTTTAAGACATTGACAACTGCTTTTTGCTTTCTTCTATTCAAAGCTTAAACCCTTTTTTCTTCACTTTCAAACCAAAGAAATGCTTAAGAGTTAAAAAATACCTTTTAAAAAAGGCAATAAAGTAAGTCAGCCATGAAATGATCATGGGGATGGGGCAGGGTTTCCCTATGTAGCCCAGGCTGGCCTTGAACCCAGAGCGATCCTCCTGCCTCAGCCTCTGGAGTGCTGGGATTACAGGCATGTGCAACCATATCTGGTTTAAATGATCAATTTAATCATACAACTATGAACAACTTTCATAATTTATTCACAACCCACTCTTTCAAGAACAAATACTACTGAAATATACATATTCCCTTCAATCTTTATATTGAGTTGTTTATATTACATATTCAATTTTTAAAACTGCTTTTTTTCATTTTAACACTATGAGAATTTTGTATGTCATCAGAAACAGTAAATAGTGTTTTTAAGGTCTGCAGATTATTTATCATATGCTATAATTCACTACTTCCCTCATGCTAATCAGTTAGGCTGGCTTTGAATAAAACTTTGCAATAAGTATCTTCTACATAAATATTTGTCTACATTTGAGACCATGCTGCAGGCATAATTTCCAAATGTTATTTGGGGAGGGTAAAAGGCATGACAAATTTTAAGACATACTTATGACCATGTTTCTTTCCAGAGGGGTTGTACCCATGCATTATCCTGTGAATAATGTGTAAAGACTCCTTTCACCATATGAGCAAACTGGATATTACTTCCAATTTTTATTGCCAATTTAAAAGATTTAATTTTCAAAAAATTAAATTTGAACAATTTCAAATGTTTATAGGCTTACCATATTTCCTCTTTCGTCTTTATTTATGGGCAATATTTGGTTTCCTTTTTGACTTAACCTAGTTTCCTAATACCATTCTATTTGTTATATTACTCGTAATCATTTTATCCAATTTGGTTTTTAATGATTATTATAAAGTTTTTAAAGATTACGCATCTTTATGTCTTTTTAATGTAGTAACATCTATCAAGGAAGAAAATGGTCCAGTGTGATTTAAACTCAATGTTAAACTCAATGTCACAGGAATACCAATTTTGAGCTTGGACATCATTCCCTTTATTTGCAAATCTAACTTCTGACTTTTAAAGATGAGTCTCTATATTTACTCTTTGGTCCACACGGAGTCTTTCGGTCATAGATACTGAAATTTAAAGAACAAAGGACCGACGAAAGGCTAACAAATGTCTTCCTTTTCCCGCAGGCCTTGGGCTGCCATCACAAGCATCCTCATTCTGTAGTCACCCATCACCATCACTGCCACCTCATGTTCCTGTCTCCTCTCCAGGCACTGGTCTGTGCACTTACGCCAATGGTTCTTAATCAGGTCCTAGTTTGCCCTCCACAGATTGTCACAACTGTGGGGATTTCAGGGAAGCTACCAGCATCTAGTGGGTTTAGGTCCAGGATGGTTTTACAATGTTTCCACACCCTCAAACAAAGCATTATCTGATTCCAAAACCATTATCTGGTTCCAAATGTCAACAGTACTAAGGCTGAGAAATCCTCACCTATTTACATCATCTTACTCAATCTCACTACAGTAGTACATGTTAATGTCCTCATCTGACAGATGAAGACTAGGGCACAAACAGGCCAAAGTCACACATCCTATGGGACAGGACCCGTATTTGATTGCAGGATTAGCTGAGTGTCTTCTCTCCAAAGCCTTTGCCCTCAACTACTGCTCAACACTTGACTCTTTGGTGACTTTACCAGCACAATGTTTAGATGTCAACCTTTTGTCTCAGAAATCCAAAAGAAGCAGCCTGTCTCTTAGGAGCAGGCTCTGGGACCCTCACTGATGCACATAAGCAGAATTTAATTGAGTAACTAACTTCCAGGATAAAGCATGGAGTCAGCACAGCCAGCCAATTCTCTCCTGCAATAAAACCACAGATGCCAAATCACAATTAAAAGGCTGCTTGGTGAGCAGGAAATGGGAGGTTAAGAGAGATGTCAAATAAACAGAATGTCTAATGGTACCAGGCTGGACAGCGTGAGGCATCCACACATGCACACACAGTACAGATGGTCCTGCTAATGTGTGGAGCCACTTCACCTGGATTGGCTGGAACTCTCCAGAGGACATGAGGACATCTACTTCCACAGTGTGGCTCTGCAACTCTCTGTCCCCATGGATGACCAACCTCACAGACAGGACTGCTATATAATTTGTAGCGCAGAGTGAAAAGAAAATATGGGTCCTATGTTCAAAAATGTACTGTCTAGAGGACCACAGAAGCAGAGAACTAAACCAAATGCGGGGCTCTTGGGAGTATGAGGCCGACTGAGAGACAGCCTACTTCATAGGATCAACACATTCATTCAGTAAGGTGATGTAGATAATTTACTTGGTTCTTTGAGTAACTTTAATCTATCATTTTCCAAATATCTTATCAGTTGTCCCAGAATTACTTATTACTTAAAACCCCTCTGATTTGTGATAAACACACTTTAATACAAAGTATGTTTCTTTGCATCTCGGCTGTTTCATTAATCTACTTACTGTGCCAATATTATAAGGATTTAGTTTTTGGCATTTATGCTGCAACTGTTCAACTAGATTAGAATTTACCTCCTGTAACCAACTCAAAATAAAGCACTTGCTGTTTTGTAAAGTTGCTGTGCAGCCTTACAGCTCTTTATAGTCAATTAAACTGCTTCCTCCAACTGGAACTCTCTTCTCCAAGACATCCCTTCTCCTCAGCCACAACTAAGTTAGATCAAAATGCCTATCTTGGCCTGGGTATAGCTCAGTGATGGAGCACTTGCCTGGCATGCACAAAACCCTGAATTCCATCCTCAGCACTAAAAAAAAAAGGTCACATCTTGGCCTTGACTTCTCAAGTACACACAGCAAATTCAGGAAACTTCACTTCTGTGCTCATCCCTTGCACTCTCCTGACATAGTGGGAAGAGCACATTATCGTCACCTAGCATAGTATACTCTCCCAAACACGCTACAACCCTGAGCCTCTCTCTCCAGGGTGGGACTTGCAGCCCTTGAGGGACTGACTGTGCTCTGGTGCATCTCTCTATCTCCAGCACTGACACGAAACACTGCCTGGCTCAGCGCAAGCATGAGTGAATGAATGATGACCACATAAGCCTGGGATGTCCTTGAGAACAGATGATGACTCTCTTACATCTCACAATGGTATACCTCTATTACAGACTCAAACTCCACGCTGAATGAATCAGTGAAAGGTTGCTCTGTGTTAAAATGTCCTACAGTTTGTCCAAGAAATGGAGGTGGAGAGGATGAGTGAAAGGGTGCCTTCTGTCTCACTCACCAAAGAGATGAGGAGCTCAGTAAATATTTGTGCAACAAATAAATGAATGACAGGCTGTATGACTGACAGCCAGTCAAGTCCAAGTCTCCAGATACTGTACAGAATCTCCCATTCCTGCTGAAATGTATTTGCACCATATCTCCTAGACCATCTGAACTTTGGCTTGAAACCTTGTATTTTATTCTTTGGCAATTTAACAGTGGTACATTCCATAAGTAAACCCTATACTGAAGTTTCACTGTTCCACTGTGTGTATGTATTCAGATATTATACTGGCTATCTAGAAGGGGCCAAGAATGTAAGCAGATTTCCACCTCACAGACAAGTAGTGAGCACTAGTATAGCCTGATAGCTGTCACAGATTGTAGAACAGGCAGGAACATAAGCTCAGTGGCCCCACGCCTTCCCGGCAAGTGCAAGGTCCTGAGCTTGATTCCCCATACCAAAAAAAAAAACAAAACCCAAATCATTAAAAAAAAAAAATACAGGGCCGGGGATTTAGCTCAGTGGTTTTGACACCTGTTGCGAAAGAGCAAGGACCTGAGTTCAATCCCCGGTACCAAAAAAAAAAACCAACCAACTTTGGGACATGGCCTGCAGTCTTTTCATGCACTATTTATACAGCATGGGAGATAAAGCGTTAGGGCAACTAATGGAGTTTCTCACCAAGAATTCTTTCCACTTTGTTGCTCATGTTTGAAAATCAGTGCAGTCAAACCAACGCTGCACTAAACAAGTACATACAACCTGCACTGGCATTCTGCTAGCAAAGGACAAAGGAACCAGACGGAACACCAGGAGCCACCCGGTTCTCAGCTCTGACACAGCCTTACACACTATGTATCTCCATAAGTACTTACTGAAAGAAAGGCAAATATGGCCCACATAGGAAGACTAGCTTAGAAGCCTTCAATCTAGAAAGAAAAAGACTTCTATACAATATATAAAAGTTAATTTTCCAATGTTTTCAATGGACTAAACTTTTGGCATATTTAAATAATCTGCTTAAAATAAAGCAATTTGAAAAAGCACAGGTGTGTTAAGACAACAGAGTTCTGATTTAATATAGTTAAACTTGGCTTACTGAAGTGGAAATGCCCTCCTACAAGTGGGAAAATTTTACCTTTTGTAAGTATCAGTGTACGACAACCATCTCAACCAAGAAAATGGTTCTTAAGGGGCAAAATAAGTTACTTTTTTGTTTTTGGGGGGTTTTTTTGTTTTTGGTACAAGGGATCGAACTCAGGACCTTGAGCTTGCGAGGCAGGCGGCAGAACCACTGAGCTAAATCCCCGGCTCCAAAATAAATTACTTTTTATTCTGTATAAGCACAAATAAACATCAAATATATAAACAGATATGCAGTGTATCTATGCAGTAGTAAAATTTCATTTGGGCAACTGTAGGGGGAAAAGCCTAAAAATTTAGACATGGGAAGGGCAATAATGG